TGTCTTTCAGTGTGCCTCAGTCTTTCAGTGTTATTATATGGAATACATCGTACTCTCAAGCATAAAGGTACGTTTAAAAATGTAACAAGAAAGACTGTGAAATCAACCAAAAGCTCCTTTTTCAGTAAGTTTTATTTTTGACACACATGGTTGCATCGCGGCACAGTTGGTAGTACAGTTGCCTGGAGGTGGAAGGTTCAAATCTCAACAACTGCGACTCTTCTGCAGGGAGCATGCATGTTCTCTCTAAGCATGCATGGGTTTCCTCCATGATAATCAGGTTTCCTGCCACAGGTAAAAAACATGCATGAGAGGTGATTAGGAACTTTAAATAATTTCTAGGAGGGAGGGAGTGAGTGAGTGAGTGAGTGAGTGAGTGAGTGAGTGAGTGAGTCTACATGGACCTGTGATGGACTGGTGACCTGCAGGCTGCCCCCTGTATCTGGCTTGTTGGCTGCTGAAGATCTGGGCACCAGCTGCTGAGAAATAGAATCATAAAGGAATACATTTTTTAAACATAGAATATGAATGAGGTCACAGTTTGTGACTCGTAGTGAGATGTAAAGTTTATCTACAAATCTCCAAGTTTAAGCCAGTGTCTCACTGCACTGTGACTGATGGGGACTGATTCAGAACAGCAATTACTAAAATATACTCTAAACAGATGTGAGTGCTCTCAGTTTTCAGGCTTACGGTGCTCAGCATAAATGAGTACACCCCCTTTAAATTACACATTTAATCAGTAGCTCAATGAACAAAAGCACAATTTCCAGAAGTTTTACAAGGCTGGGTTTTATTGAACACTTAGTTAACTCATAACATACAACTAAGGTTAATAATTCAGATCACAAAGTCTTCTGTTTTACTGAAACTGGTCAAAGCAAAAATGAATACACCCGCAGCAAAAACTACTACATCTAGTATTTTGTATGACCACCTTCATTTTCAAGGATAGCACCAAGTCTTCTAGGCATAGAATGAACAAGCAGGCGACATATTGCAACATTTATCTTTTTCCATTCTTCAGTAATAACCTCCTTTAGAGCCTGGATGCTAGATGGAGAGTGGTGCTCATCTTGCTGCTTCAGAATTCCCCACAGGTGTTTGGTTGTGTTCAGATCAGGAGACATACTGGTCATTCAATCACCTTCACCGTGTTCTTTAGGAATACAGCAGAAGCTTTAGATGTGTCAGAGCTGCTCGCAGCCGAGTGTGAAGCACTTGGAATGAGAATCAGCTCCTAAATTCGAGACCATGGTCTTGAGTAGGAAAAAGGTAGGATGCCTTCTCCGGGTCAGCGATGAGGTCCTGCCCCATGTGGAGGAGTTTAAGTATCTCGGGGTCTTGTTCACGAGTGAGTGAAAGATGGAGCATGAGATCGATAGGCGGATTGGTGCTGCATCTGCAGTGATGCGGGTATTCTACCGGTCCGTCGGGGTGAAGAGAGAGCTGAGTCAGAAGGTGAAGCTCTCGATTTACTGGTCGATCTACGCTCCTACCCTCACCTATGGTCACAAGTTTTTGGTAGTGAATGAAAGAACTAGATCGCAGATACAAGCGGCTGAAATTAGTTTTCTCCGCAGAATGGCTGGGCTCTCCCTTAGAGATAGGGTGAGAAGCTCGGTCATCCGGGAGGGGCTCGGAGTAGACCAACTGCTACTCCACACTGAGAGGAACGAGTTGAGGTGGCTCGGGCAGCTGGTCAGGATGCCTCCTGGACGCCTCCCTGGTGAGGTTTTCCGAGCACGTCCAAGTGGGAGGAGGCCTAAGGGGAGACTCAGGACACATTGGAGTGACTATGTCTCTCATGACTGGCCAGGGATCGCCTTGGGATTCCCCCGGAAAAGCTGACCCAAGTGGCTGGGGAGAGGGAAGTCTGGGCCTCTCGACTTAGGCTACTTCCCCCGCGACCCGACTCAGGATAAGAGAATGAAAATGGATAGATTGATGGATGATTATAAATAAATACATCAATGTAAACTGAAACTAGAAATACACACTTAAACATTTTGCAGCCTTTCAGAATCTGTTATTATTTAAAACTCATTCTCACAATCTTTAAATTGTTAAATATCCCAAAAAATAATTCACAACACAAACAAATGCTGAACGAAACATGCAGTGTTAAGATTTAGATCTTTATTTGCAATGTTTTTTTTTTGTTGTTTATTTTTTATTGTAACAGTCACTGTTGAAATGTAGTTTAGCCCCTTAATCTTCCAGGTTTAATGAACGCGATGGGGGTTTTGTCCCATGGGCAGGAAGTTTGAATGCTAAGGGGTTAAAGGGAAATTAATAATGCAGTATATTAGAATATTTTTGTAATTGTGTCACATAAATTCCCTTCCCACAAATACAGATGGCAATATACGGTATATCTTTTATTTTTTCTTGATAGACAAATAAGTAAGGGTCGACATACACCCTCAATATACATAAGAGATGCTCTGCACTGGACCAGTCATGTGGCTGGAATAGAGCCATGCAAAGTTAGGTTAATGCAGAAAGCACAGTATCAGCCAGCCAGAATGACGGAAGACACAGAGAATGACATGATGACCGTCATGAAGGACCTGAACATTTTAGCTGTGCGAGTGTATTTTGGAGTTTTAAAGTCAGGCAAAAACAAAGGGATGTAAGAGTAAACCCCCCATCTGCTTTACCACATGACAGCACCACTCGCTGGAGCACCCAGAATGTGAGACTTCATCATTTAAGATGCTAAGCACACCCCAATTCAAAGTAAAAATAATGGGTTGGAAAACTTTACAATTTACTTAATGTGCTCCCAGTTGTTCATCTGAAAGGCATTTAATGCATTTGTAAATTTCTTCCTGCCTTTGTGACTTACCTTTGACAGTCTTGTTTCGACTTGTTTCAGACATCAGGATCCAAATACAAGCTCTTAAAAACCTTTGTGGATTCTTAATTAACAGAGCTTTAAATGTGGTGATTATTTGGTGACCACCTTTAATTCCTGAAGTTTTTTTCTGGCATCACGTTTCAGAAATTAGCCTCATCTTGCGCACCAGAAGGCATTCATCTGGAGCTGTTGCAATAATAATAAAATATGTATAAAAAATAAAATAAATGGTGAAAATGCTCTCACCACCACACTTAAAGGGTCATTCCTGTGCCAGAGTTACAGTTGACTCTCCCATTAGACATGTGTAATTGGATGTGCTGAGTGTGTGTGTGTGTGTGTGTGAGTTCACATTTAATTTTGCTGTGTGAAAGTCACTGGTGTGATTGATTCTTGCCATAACTTTAAAACGAAGAACTTGTCCCAAATCTTTGGGGAGGTGAAACTCAGGGGAAGGTGCATCTGAGTGCAAACTCAGAGTGATGATGTTTGCATGTGAAAACTGCATCTCAACAGCTTCAGTTTAGTTTCCCCAAATGGAGTTAAACCACTGGTGTGCCTGATTAAAAATGTACTTCCGTTGCCTTTGACACAGTTGAAGTCAGACATAACTTTGACTGGAGGAAAAAAAAGTAGATTAAATGTTTTTTTTTTCTAATATTACTGGTCCGGTCTGTTGACAAGAGTCATACACTTTTATTCAAAAGATATTTAAAATTTTCAACGATGCCAAAAAAAACATCTAAATTATTGTTTATTATTATTGTCGTTGATGTTGTAAATCATTCTAAACAGAGGTCATTTACCCCTGAGATCCTTACAAATAATACATGATGTTGATTATGGAAACAGTGACAACCTGAAAAGCAACAGCAGGACTCAGAAAACATTTGTAAATCATATTTTACCTAATTGTTCCAATCGTGAAATGTTCTTTTTTTATCGTGTTTATAGCTGCTACAACGAATCTACAAACAAGCTAGGTTTTGAATGCACGCTACAATAGTCACGGGCCACTTTAATTTATATTAAAGTATTTATTCTAACTCCAACAACTGACCATACTGCATTTCAGCAGAAATTACGGCATGTAAGTTTTTTTGTTTTTTTACTTTGTCAATTTTTTACTGAATATTGGAGTAAATATTTAGGTTTATTCTAGCTAAATAAGTAATTGACCAATCAGTAATGCTCATTGTTTGCATAAGACAGCAGGTGACGCGAGAAAAAAAAAAGTCATTCAATAAGGAAACACTTAGCAGAACCAGACTCAGTGACAGTGACTCTTCACTTCTGCAAAGGTCACTGGGGCATATTATTGCTTTTAGTCTCTTCTGCAAATCTTTTCTTCAGTTGTCTCTCCTTCATACATGTTTTTTTTTTTTAAATGGAGGCCAAGTGTCCTTTTTAAGGATGCATATTCCCTTGTTGTAACAATTAGTAAACTGTTCAGGCTGCACAAAATGGAAAATAGACACAACAGAAAAGGCTGTGTCAGAAAGAGAAAAAAGAATGTTTCTCATCGTGAGCTGCAAGTCTAAATGGTTGGAGAACAAAGTCATTTCAAAAATTAAAAGTTAGACTGAAGCTTGCTGATTTATTTCCAGCTTTGCAAAATCTAGCCGTTTCCATCAGTGCCACTTGTCCTCAGGAGAAATTCTGTTCATCTTCTTATTTTCACTTTCCTTTAAAATAAACATCAAAGACAGGGTCTTTCAGATCTCGATTTTAACTAAACTTGATAGATTTGCCCTGGACTCCAAAAGAGAATCAGTTGTGGCTCTTCATCCAGTAATTACTCTCTGAGGGTTTCATTAAAATTAATACAATAGTTCACACTATTGTCTAACACATTTCCATCTGGTGACCATTTAGGCATATTATAAAACATTTGCTGGTGAAATGTTATCAGGTCTGAGTCTCGAGGAGAGAAGAAATGAGGAAGCACAAAAATGAAAAAAAAATAAATAAAATTAAATGAGGCTAATTCTGACAAATTCTGTGTTTTTGGTACAGAGATTCAAAGTCAATGGATTAAAATGTCAGCAACAGATGCAGTCAGACAGCCTCTCTATGTGTGTGTGTGCGTGTGTTTTTGTAAAACTGCTTAAATTTTCTTTTATCTTTATTTTTTTAGACTCGTCTCTGTCCAAAATGAGCCCCTGTTCTGAGGTAGGGAAGCCCTGTAACCCCTGCCTGGATGCAGCCAAAGCCTGTAACCTTAACGAGACCTGCAAACGTCTAAGATCTGCCTACAACTCCATCTGCAGCAAGGCCACGCCTCCACAGCCTGCCACAGCCAATCAGGAGCCGTGCAGCAAGAAACGATGTCAAAAGGTGGGTGCAGCGATGGTTCAGGATAGCCTAACTTAAAGTGTTTTATCATAGAGCGTAGTGAAGGAGAAAATTATCTGGCTGTCCATTTTTATTTCAAATGTCACAACCAAGTTAATGAAGAATAAACCCAATAGTTTCATGACATCAGTATTTTACACCAAACTCTATTTTGTTGTTCTGTCTCATTTTGTTTAAGGCTTTCTTTACCCATAAAGGCCAATCAAAAATAATAAATAAATACACTCAACAAAAATATAAACGCAACACATTTGTTTCTGCTCTGATTTTTCATGAGATGGACTTAAAGATCTAAAATTCATTCCAGATAAACAATATTACCATTTCTCTCAAACATTGTTCACAAATCAGTCTAACTGTATGATAGTGAGCACTTCTGCTGAGATAATCCATCCCACCTCACAGGTGTGCCACATCAAGATGCTGATCCGACATCATGAGTAGTGCACAGGTGTACCTTATACTGCCCACAATAAAAGCCCCCCCTGGAATGTGTAGTTTTGTCTCACAGCAAAATGCCACAGATGCCACAAGCATTGAGGGAGCGTGCAATTGGCATGCTGACAGCAGGAATGTCAACCAGATCTGTTGCTCATGCATTGAATGTTCATTTTCTCACCATAAGCCGTCTCCAAAGGCGTTTCAGAGAAAATGGCAGTACATTCAACCGGTCTCACAATCGCAGACAACATGTAACCACACCAGCCCAGGACCTCCACATCCCGCAGTTTCACCTCCAAGATAATCTGAGACCAGCCTCTCAGACAGCTGCTGAAACAATTGGTTTGCATAACCAAACAATTTCTGCACAATCTGTCAGAAACCATCTTAGGGAAGCTCAACTGCATGCTCGTTGTCCTCATCTGGGTCTTGACCTGACTCCAGCTCGTCACCATAACAGACTTGAGTGGGCAAATGCTCACATTCGATGGCGTCTGGCACGTTGCAGAGGTGTTCTCTTCACAGATGAATCTCGGTTTACATTGTTCAGGGCAGATGGCAGACAGCGTTTGTGGCGTTGTGTGGGTGAGCGCTTTGCTGATGTCAGTGTTGTGTATCGAGTGGCCTATGGTGATGGTGGGGTTATGGTATGGGCAGACATCTGTTATGGACGAAGAACACAGGTGCATTTTATTGATGGCATTTTGAATGCACAGAGATACCGTGATGAGATCCTGAGGCCCATTGTTGTGCCGTACATCCATGAACATCACCTCATGTTTCAGCAATGCACGGTCCCATGTTGCAAGGATCTATACACAATTCTTGGAAGCTGAAAACATCCCAGTTCTTGCATGGCCAGCATACTCACCGGACATGTCACCCGTTGAGCATGTTTGGGATGTGCTTGACCGGCATATGCGACAGCGTGTACCAGTTCCCACTAATATCCAACAACTTTGCACAGCCATTGAAGAGGAGTGGACCAACATTCCACAGGCCACAATTGACAATCTGATAAACTCTATGCGAAGAAGATGTGTTGCACTGCATGAGGCAAATGGTGGTCACACCAGATACTGACTGGTTCTGAGTCCCCACACCCCCAATAAAGCAAAAAACTGCACATTATAGTGCGGCCTTTTATTGTGGGCGGTATAAGGTACACTTGTGTACTACCCATGATGTCAGATCAGCATCTTGATGTGTCACACCTGTGAGGTGGGATGGATTATCTCAGCAAAGCAGAAGTGCTCACTATCACACATTTAGACTGATTTGTGAACAATGTTTGAGAGAAATGGTAATATTGTTTATCTGGAATGAATTTTAGATCTTTAAGTCCATCTTATGAAAAATCGGAGCAGAAACAAAGTTGTTAGGTTTATATTTTTGTTGAGTGTACATAATAATAGCTCTAAAATACACCAGAAAAAAGGTATATGCCTGAAGACGTGATCTATTGTTTGGTTTCAAATAAATCACCTCAGATACAGGTAGTCTTACTAAAACAGGGACAAATTATAACTTAATAACCAAACAAAAATCAGCTTAACAGACAAATGTAAGTGTTCAGTCATTACCAAAGAAAAAATATTTATCATGTTTCTTCAATATTGAGAACACACAAGTTTTATCAATTTTTGTTCAAGAACATTTTAAATAAAGGTATTTATTTTTTAAGCTGCAGGGACCAAAATGAGCTGTTTGAAGAGGTTGACCTGCATGTCGAGGGGATAAATTCTGAAATGGTCTGTAGTTAAAGTTGTTGCTGAATTTTATTGCAGACTTTAAATTAAATTTGTCTGCCATCTTGAAATGTGTTTTGTGTAGCACTTAGAAATAATTCGAGTCCTCATTGAGCATAGGTTCCTTAACAACGCCATCTGCTCAGAAAAATGTCTTCATTCGTAAGAACAGATTAACTAAATGTTTTACAGGTGATTCTCTGTGGCGACCCCTGAAGGGGAAGAGAAAGAGAAAGAAGGATAGAAGAATTGATGGGCTAACAGCTAGTCTCAGTACAGCTTAGACTAAAGGGTGTTGCAGCCACTTTTAAACAGCTAACCAACAGCAGAAAGGTGTGCCATCAAAACATCCCAGCCAAAGAGATTTCCTAACATTTAACTTAATCACAAAGAAAAAAGCAAGGGAATTTTTCCCCTTGTGCATTTTTGAAATTTGGGGCAATGAGGGCTTTAGTAAAAATAAACTAATAACAGTAATACAATCATAGTTGTCATTATATTAAGGTAATGGTAATGTGAAGTAATAATTTAATGCCTCTTCTTTAAACTTTTTTTTTTTTTTTGCTTTAGCATTCCTTTATTGCTTTAATTACATGTAGGGACCTAAAGGTGCAGTATAAAAGAAGAGATTGACAATTTTACAGAGAGAAAATCCCAAAAGAGTCTAATGTTTCGGTCATTTAGGAAGGAACAGATTGCACATCCAGCTGGCTGCAGGGATTGTCCGTTGTTCTCCTTTCAAAATAAAAGGGGGAGGGACATAACTACTGTTTACCATCAGTGAGTGTGGGGGTGCTGTGTCTTCTGTGAGCTAATACTGCAGCGCAGACAATTGTAATTTTATGACGGCTGGCAAAAAGCTCCAGAGTTGTTTAAAGTCATAGCAGTAACCAAATTTTACCACAGGATGCCATTTTTACTCCATTTATTCATAATGCATCTTTAAGATATGCTCTACCAATTGATTGGCCATACAGATAAAGGGCTACATAAACATTTATTGTAAAATGTATGCTGCTGCAAATGTTCACAAAACTAAGTTTGCATATGGTGGTGACACTATGGCAGTTGGTGTCATTTTAAGACAACAGTAGGTCACCAAATTTTTCACCTTCTCCTGCCGTAAACAAACATAAAAACTTAACATGAAGTTTGCATAAATTGTAGAAGATTGAAGCTGTTTCATATGAGACCACAACCATGACGCTACCTGAACTAGACTAAACCTTAGAAGGAAAAAAACAAAAGTAAAGAACAGTAAATGAATGCCGAGCACAGGCATTCTGAACCACCTGTAGACGGTTCAGGGAGGTTCTGCTCAGACACGTGAAAAGAGAGTTGCAGTAGTCTAAGCGTGAGGAGATGAAGGTGTGGATAACTGTCTCAAGTTCAGAGCGAGACAGAATGGGACTCAGCTTAGCAATGTTCCTGAGATGGAAGAAGGAAGAGCGAACAAGAGAACTGACATGAGAATCCAGGGTGAGAGCTCGGTCAAAGGTCACGCCAAGATTCCTGACAGAAGGTTTGGTGTGAGAAGCAAGCTGACCAAGAGAATCTCTGACTTTGGGAACCAGCTTGTCTGGGGCACAGATGAGGATCTCTGTCTTATCTTCATTCAGCTGAAGAAAGCTCCCAGCCATCCAGGTTTTGATAGAGTCTAAGCAGGTGTGTAACAGCTGCAGCTTAGACATCTCATGGGGCTTAAAGGAGATGTACAGTTGGATGTCATCTGTGTAAAGATGGTAGGAGATTCTTTTAAAGGAGCTCAGGATGTGCTGAAGAGAAAGCAGATAGAGGAGGAAGAGCAGAGGCCCCAGCACAAAACCTTGTGGGACATCATGGGTGAGGGAGGTGGAGGAGGTCCAAAACTTGGAGACGGCCATAGAAAAGGAGCGCTCAGAAAGATAAGAGGAGGACCACTCCAGAGCAGATCCTGATAGGCCTACCCAGTCTCTCAGCCTCTCCAGTAGCAGGTGATGGTCAACGGTGTCAAAGGCTGCAGTCAGGTCCAGCAGGACCAGAACAGAACAGTCCCCTGCATCACTGTGAATCAGAAGGTCATTAGAGACCCTAAGAAGAGCTGTTTCAATGGAATGAGCTCTATGAAGACCTGACTGGTAACACTTAGTTTAGTGCTTGTTCAATGAAACATAAACATATCAAGAACATTGGTACATTTCTAGCCAGAAATAATGTTAAGCTGAATTTCAGAGAAAGAATCATTACATCTATAGACAATATGTTGGCTTATGTTTTTTATTTCATCAACAACAATTAGATCTATAGAAAAAATATGTAATTTTCAGGATGTTTGTGGCTCTTAAGGAGCAAACAGCTTTCATTGTTTTCTAAAGAAATAACATGACACATTAGAGATGTTTCTGGCAAACAGGATCCAGCAGATGTGATCTCTCAACAGAGGAGCAGACAGGTTCTGGTCTCAAGAGGACTTTTCTTTATTTTAGGACAGTTTTTACATATTTCTCTAAGCCTAATGACTTTATTACATACTTTATGTAACCAGAATGGTTATCTGGTTAAGGTGAGCTAAATTATTATTTTTTAATTATTCCCTAGTATGTTTAAAATAGTCTCATGCCCTTTGCATTCCATATTTCCATAGAAGTCAAAGTCCACCTGAAAAAGTTTATATTAAAACTAATGATTAAACTGTTCTGTACAAACTGAAGGCATCTGCATCCGCTCAGCGGGGGTGCTGCAGAACTGAACAGAAATGAGTATGTTGCTAATGAAAACCTTTTTCTTGTGTGTGTGTGTGTGTGTGTGCGTGCGCGCGTGCATGCGTGCGTGCATGTGTGTGTGTGTGCGTGTTTCAGGCCCTGCGTCAGTTCTTTGAGCGTGTTTCGTGGGAGCTCAGCTACCCACTGTTGTTCTGCTCCTGCCCGGACCAGGCGTGTGCCGAGCGGCGCAGACGAACCATCGTTCCATCCTGCTCCTACCAGGAGAGGCACAAACCCAGCTGCCTGGAGCTGCGGCACACTTGCCGCTCAGATGCCCTGTGCAGGTGAGCAGCACTTGGCGGCCAATCAGGCGTGAGCTGCGGTCATCATGTATGCACTCACTCTTTAGAGCCTGATGCACCCTGTTCTGCTGATTATGATCAACGCCTGGGAGGAACTAATCAGGGAAATCAGAATCCGGAGAGCTTAATTGCAGAGATTCAGAGGTCAAATTTGCACCTTTCATAACTATTTAGAGGTTAGAAAGGCTTGAAAAGGGGGCAGTGAATAAAGGAACACCCGCACCCACCCCATCCTCTCAACTATGACAGGTAAGGTGTCCTTGATCAGAGAGCAGGGAGGACAAAGAGGTTGGAAGAACTTAAAGGGCGGGTCAACCCTGCTTCAGAGTCCTTTTCCACCCATATATCAATTTTGAAAATTGCAACATTAGTAGGCGTTGCCTGGCGGACCGAGAGGGCGGAGCCGTGGCAGTGACGAAGACGGATGGGAGCCGAAGCTAGCTTGTTTTACTCTGAGCAGTCATTAGAAGTGGAGGACGTTTCTCCCCCTCCTTACGTAGACAATCGAGAAGAAAGGGACCAAGTCTATTTGGAGGAGACAAGCGGACCTGAGCCTTATTGTTTTGAGCTTGTGAGTTGCCTGAATCTACTGGAGCCAACCCAACAGAACCAGCTCTGAATGGTAAGTAGCCGTTAGCCATAGCATTAGATTAGCCACAGGGTTTGGCTCCACAGCCTCACAGAGCTATTATCAATCATGTTTTAGATGTTTATCTGCTTCAACACACCTTATTTTAATCAGCAGCAAATAGCTGAGCTGCTGAACAGCTAATCTAACATGTTAAAGCTGGAAAAACCACTGAAACATGTCGATAGCAGCTCTCTAGGACACGGACACCTACCCTGGACTAAAATTACTGTCTGCTGCAGAGAAAGTTATAAAAATACCCCATGAGAAAACTATGTAATGTTTTCATTTATGCTACACAATCACAAACATTCCACTAAAATTGCCCTGTTTTCATGATTACCATACCATACCATACCACCTTTATTTATGTAGCGTAATGGTTGTTGGCTCTTTTATGAAAGATAAACCATTCTACATAATAATCTGGAATATTATTTTTTACAAATTAATAACCAAATGTTATAGAGATAAGAAGACTCAAAGGTTGTTTTCATCGATAAACTGACTATCATATCCGTTTGTCTGTGTTTCAGTTCAATGAAAAGACAAGTTTAAATTTTAAGAGTTTTAATTCTTCAATTTAAACTAACGATTTGAAATGACAATCATAGGAAAAACAATCAACATTGGCAACCTTGTTGGACAATCTTTAACAGTTGATATTTTAAGCTTGCACAAATAGACCTTGTGTTGGATGTGCTAAAATTTGAGAATGATGGAATTATGAATGTGTGCATGCAGGTGTCTGAGATTGCTTCAGGGAGAGAGAAGGTGAATCTAAGTGAAAAATTATGTTTTGCAATTAAACTTTAGTTCTTATTAGAAAAACAGCATCAGAACGCTATCTATCGTGTTCTGCCTCACCACATTTAGGACCCTCTTTTAGATCCGGACCTCCTAGGATGTTTATCCAGATGCCACCTTGGCTGACAGAGAAGACGAAGGTGTGCTGACGGTCCAGTCCAGAGTTGACCTCGGTACACATTGCTGAAGTGTTCGGCAGATGCGCTTTCTCAAGTTTAAATTAACTCAGAAATCAAAAGACTCTGGGACCAGTCCACGTTAGCTGGTTGCATTTCAGCTATTCTGTCTGGCTTGACAGAAATAGCGTGGTGGGAGAAAAGAGCCTGCAGGTCTCCTTTCCCCATGGTGTTCGTTCCGCACTTCCGCTCTCTTCCGATCTTACTCTCAAACTGACTAACTTACCAAAACCACTTCTCTTCCCAAAGCAAACTTGTTGTGCGTCAGAGCAAATGTGTTTTGAGTTACCGTGAATACAGCCCTGTGTGAGCGAGTGTGAAGGTCATCGCTAAACATCTTTGAAAATATTATTTAATTAAGTATACTGATTCATTATAGTTCATTATGATTACCCAAAGCATAATAATGATTCATTTGATTAAAATACATTTATAATGAGCAAAGTGATCAAATGATTATTTAACATTAAACAAAGAAAGTTTAAGACTCTGTTTTATTATGACTAGACTGTGGGTTGAAGTCCTTCTTCTGGAGACCAGGTGTTCGGTTGTTGTGGAATTCTTCAGACTTGCTGGCGGCAAAGGTCTTAATCTGTGGGTGAAGGTGCTGCGTGACCCAGCTTTGCCACAGCCGGGCAAATACGACCTTTGGCACAGAACCCATACTTCCTCACGTTACATTTATATAGCACTTTAAAAACACAGCCATACGGCCGACCAAAGTGCTGAACAGTCGCACAAATAACAGAGATAAAAACATAAAACAGAGCAATAAAATACAGTCAACAAATAAGAAACAAGCCAATAAAAAAGTACAGATAAAAACCTTACAATAGATGATAAAATAGGAGTAGTAAAAACCAAAATAACAGCTAACTGTTAAAAGCAAGGGTAAAATAGTGTGTCTTCAGTCTAGACTTAAAAATTGCCAAGGAGGATGCCAGTCGAACTGCGGCTGGAAGTTCGTTCCACATTTTAGGAACGGCAACAGAGAAAACTCTTTCTCCGCATGATTTATAACACGCTTTTGGTACCTCTAGGAGCAACAGGCTGGAGGACCTGGGTGTGCGACCGGGAGTATAAATCGCAAGAAGATCAGATAGGTACACGGGGGCAAGACCATGGAGGGATTTGAAAACAAAAAGCAATATTTTATATTGGACCCTGAAAGTGATGGGCAGCCAATGAAGGGATTTTATAACTGGAGTTATGTGCTGGCGCCTGTCAGTATGTGTGAGGAATCTAGCCGCTGCTATTTACTGATACCAGCTGTTCTCTTGGTCGTAGGTGATCCTCTGGTGGTGTCGTCAAGATCAGGAGCTCCCGGAAGAATGTGCCTTTGAATTATTCCTTCTTCCTCTAAACAGTTATTTGTTATATTAATTAAATAAATCACAATTTATATATTTCTTGTTTTTGTTCATGTCCATAAATATTTAAACACGCTTGAGTTTAAAGCGAGCTTTTAACAGTGAGGCGCTAGTTATATTCATCACAATACAGCTAGTTAAAGTTGCAACAATGTGATAATTCGATTAATGCAATTTTTAAATATCTATTAAAATATAAAAACTGGAATTAAAATGAGGCATTTTGGCAGCACAAAGAACTCGTCAAACACTATTTATTATAATAATTGTAGGCAGATAGGAGACAGAGCTGATGGAGGTTCTCAGTCATCGAAGGATGGCTAAAGGCTTTCCAGGAACAGGAGATGTGGTGTTGTCTCTTCTCTCTCTATTCTGCCAGATGAGCTGATAGGTTACAGGTGTGTGAGGCCATCCTCTTGCTGTCATAACCACATGACAGAAGTTATCAGGTGATCAGCCAGGCTAATGATGAGATGCAGAAAGAAAACAAATCCAAGACAGTGCACAATAATCTGTGGTGTTGCTCACTTCATGTGTTCTTATAGAACATTAACGCATGACTGCCTCATGATGTAGCATCCATATTTTGCTGAGTGTCCTGCAATAATGCAGGTTATTGGTTAATTTACTTTTGATAGCAAAAAAAAATGTTTAATGTGAAAGTTATTTACCAGGTGAATCAGCTCACACGTCAGCACCAAGTGTCACAGGGCCAGAATCGGTAGTCTCCTTCATGATGTCATGATGTAATGTAGCTCCAAGCTCACGGTAGCAACACACGTGTAGCAATAAGCTATGAAACAAAAACATAGGTAATGTTAAAACTCGTCATCCTCTTCCTCCGCTTATCCGGGTCCAGGTTGCGGGGGCAGCATCCCAACTAGGGACCTCCAGACCGTCCTCTCCCCGGCCACCTCCACCAGTTCCTCCGTCAGGACCCCAAGGCGTTCCTGGACCAGATTGGAGATGTAACCTCTCCATCGTGCCCTAGGTCGACCTGGGGGCCTCCTGCCGGCAGGACATGCCTGAAACACCTTCCCAGGGAGGTGTCCAGGGGGCATCCTGACCAGATGCCCAAGCCACCTCAACTGACTCCTTTCGATCCGGAGGAGCAGCGGTTCTACTCCGAGTCCCTCCCGAATGTCCGAGCTCCTTGCCCTATCTGTAAGGCTGAGCCCGGCCACCCTACAGAGGAAACTCATTTCGGCCGCTTGCATCCGCGATCTCGTTCTTTCGGTCATTACCCAAAGCTCATGACCATAGGTGAGGATTGGGACGTAGATCGACCAGTAAATCGAGAGCCTGGCTTTCTGGCTCAGCTCCCTCTTCACCACTACAGATCGGCTCAGCGTCCGCATCACTGCAGACGCCAAACCAATCCGCCTGTCGATCTCCCGATCCCTCCTACCCTCACTCGTGAACAAGACCCCGAGATACTTAAACTCCTCCACTTGAGGTAGAACCTCTCTCCCGACCCGGAGTTGGCAAGCCACCCTTTCCCGGTCGAGAACCATGGTCTCAGATTAGGAGATGCTGATGTTAAAACTCAAAGGTCGTAATGAAGATTACATGATGATTCAAAACAACTCACCTTTACTACACCTGCAAGGCTTAATGTTAGTCTGGACCATTTGTAGCTGCAACAGTCAGTCTGACAGCAGAGTTCTTGGGTTCATTTAGCCTGAAAGAAATACAATATTATATACAACATCCCAGTGATGTGGGAGGTCGCTTCCAGAGATGGTGAGAAACATGTGGAAAGCAGAGCAAGGATGGAGCTACAATTTTTTCTGTTAGATCAGGAGGCCCTGAGGTAAAACGGGATGTTAGTGTGAGTATGGGAAGCTACTCCTCTCCAGTGGTGACCAGCCAGGCTGAGATGTAAGGGAAAAAAAAAACAGAATACAGAGTACAATATTATTATTTAGAACGTTTTTACCTGGATCAGTTCATGGAGCTTCATTTGGAGTCATTCAGATGGAAGCTGCTCAGAAGCTCTCC